ACAAAAACTGCGTTGTAATAAAAATATTTCTTTTTGTAATGTATACGCCTTTTCTAATTTATGATTTTCCATTTCAAAAGAAGTTAAACAAATAATAACTTAACGGTCAAACCATACTTAAAGTGACTTTTAAATTGTAATTGTTGTTAAACTGTTTTTGTGGTGTGAATACGTCACTCAATTTTTGAAGTTACATTTCTGTTTTGATATGTTCCATAAGTTTTTATTCTATGGTCATACTTATTTTACGTGGTCATGAAAATCTTTCGTTTTCTTATTTAAGATGTATAATCATTCAATTATCATACAATTTTGTGATGTTTAGTTCTAAATTTGAATAGACTGATGAAGTATTATACGAAAAACCCGTAATTAACGGCACATAAACTAAAATGAACCGAACCGAACATAAAAAAATATTGAATTGAAGTAAGACAATGGGATACGGTAGATTATTTAGTCTATACATATCCTGATGGTGCAATAGAATTAGTTATGTTTTATTTAAATATTGCAACTTTTCGATTGGGATAGTGTAGTTCAATTTAATATAGTGTTTCAGATACGGAAATTATGAATTTTAACTTAAATTTGCAACAAACTATTACTAGTTAAAATCATAAGTTAAATGTTCATACTTAAAATATAACATACCATAAAAAAACGAAACAAAGGGGCCTAGTTATGATTTTTAAAAATTTGTTCAGTATATCAGCTTACTTCAAAATGTCCAACCTAATTTATATATTAACAAACGTTTCATATTAAACTAAATTCGTTCAGACTCTTTCTTTATCAGGAACGCTTATGCGATCGAAATATACTTTGTTCAATCGTAATTCTGGTTCGCACGTACATGACTTAAATTGATTCTATATCCCCTCACACTCCAGCACTAATTATAACTTTTATATTAGGCTGTCCGGCTTAACATGAGTCATTGTTGTAGTGTTCAATATATTACACAAAAATGAAATTTGATCATTAGTGTATTAAGACATTTTACGTTTACACCTGACTGAGATTTTAGCAGAATACAAAAAATATTTTGACAACCGCTCAAAATAACTGATTGCTTCAAATACAGTATAAATAAATATAGATGCACACCGTGAACCGTTATCCGTAGCCAACTCACTTTTTTATATTTCTTGCCCAATCCAGCACAAATATTGTTTTCTAACCGTATCAGCTTTTAGCTAGTTCTTAATTTAACAGAATTGTAAAAACTTAGTAACGTAAAATTGTAAAAATTTATGAATTGACCCCAAAACACTTCTCGTCAGTACAGCAATCTGGAGAAGGCGTATGTTTCCCTGTAAATTAGATATGGTGAAGAAGATACCTTAAAATAGCGATGTTTGACCTTTATTCAGAATATTCTTGACCTTTGCATAATAAAAACAATAGGTGTGGGTGATATTTTACTTCTACTTTATCTTCTGCTATTAGCAGCTTTATAAGGATGACCATATGCTAGTAATTATGACAACACTATATCCTTAACCATCAGTGCTCCACTTCAAAGTGAATTGTCTGTCGTTTCAAAGTGAATTGTCTGTCATTAGCAATTACTAGAAATTAAGCATTGTTAACCGTGCGGAAAGCGCTGTGATGGTTTGAAAAATCTTAACTTTTTCTAGTATAACAGCATTTAAGTAATCTTAATTTTGCTTGTAATTAGTAAAGCATGTGCGTACATGCCAATAACAATATCTTGATTACGTCACACCCAGAGTTAATCACGAGTAATTTCTATTGAATCAGATATTGATTTCATATGCTAGACTTGTAAATTTGATATTTCACCATTAATACAATAAACAAATCATTAGTTGTACAAACATGCAAACCGTTTAAGATTATTCGATATATTAGTATAAGCTTTTCAATAACTAACAATATATTTTGATTATTGTTAAATTCTTGAACAAGACAAATACTTGTTTAAATATTTTCTATGTTTTTAACTTGATTCTACACAGATTCTAACCATAAAATGATACAAGGTTGTTACTTTGAAGATTTTATAATCACCATATGATCATACAATTACAATGTTGATGAGAGATCATTTACCATCTTATAGTAAAGTATGCTATAGTCGGTAAAAGAAGAATAATAACAGTCTGTTTTATTACATATTTAATCAAACCAAATAACAACATTGGTGTTATGTTTGATGCCATTTAAGTTCATGTACATTATTATTGCACCAGATGAAACACTTTTACAGATAATTAAAAGCAAAATCTAGAAATACATTAAATGCCATTTATTTGATTACACCAATGTCAATCACTATATTCCGGTCAAAGTCTATGTATGATTAATATTCATATCATTATCATATTAACCAATTAGATTTTTTTATGGTACTTGAATATAAGCTCTTGAATAATTTATCTTAAATTAATAAAAAATGTATTGGGAATAACTTTGTTCACTTTAAGATGTATTACCAAACGCGAAAATAACGTTTATGTGTTTAGCTGGATTTGGACTCGTCGACAAATTTAATATACATTGTATCTTAATATACAATTTAACAAAATTTCATGGTTAAAATTACAAAATGTACTCTTCGTGTCTAACACATTCTTAGCGCAAATAGTAACAATACAGTAACATTTACAGTGTCACCATTGCAGAACGACTCTGCTTAGCAATTACAATTTTACAACATTTTACAACATATTAGCAAATTCCTTCCAAAGTAAGTATTCTGTGGAAAATCTTTTTAAATTAAATAAATCATCCACTAAAATGTGCAAAAGCGTCAAATGATCAATTTTAGAAATTACCTTTATGTATGCTTTATCAAACTAAAGATATCATAAAGATAAATTCAATTGACATTATCATTTGTGGCATTTTCTCAAGATTAATTTGTCAGATCCTATATTGCAGTTTGATTTCTAAGTGTTCGTTGCAGCAGCTGCATTCTTTTTTTTAGTGAATATTTACAATTAACGAATTATATCTAGTAAGACATTTTGCTGCAGTCTCAGACATGTCTGACCGTTTACTTGTCACATAAATAACTTAAAAGAGCTGACAATGCAGATACCTTTGAACGTGAGCTCAACTATCTGATTTGTATGACTTATGTCATGAGGAGAAAACGGTACAATATCTCAAAGGCAACTAGCAGCAACGATTTCCTAATTCTACTTTCAGCTTTTAAATTTACATTATTAAAGTGTTAATGAAATCATATAGATAAGACAAATGAATACAAATAGTTAATTGTCAAAGATTACGTGTTAAACATATTAATATCTTAATATGTTTGTTTCAAATTGATATTTTGAGTTATTGAAGGAAACATTATATCATCATAGGTTAATAAAAAGTGTTTATAGAACTGACATTAAGAAGATATTGAATCTAACGATCAGTTATAAGTCGAAAGGAAAGCAATTTAGTACCTTTGATTCACATATGTGTAAAACAGTTCAGTGTAGTTCATTTTCATCAGAGAAAAAGAGTGATAAACCATTCAGAGTATATAAAACATAATTTAAAAAAAGAGTCAACACTTACAATATAAACATTTATAATTGACAAACTGATGATTGAAATATTCATATGATTTACATATAAACTCTAACAAGTACATGCATTTTACAATAAAAGTTACACGAGAGATATATTTCAGTAATGATATATTAAGGTAATTCTACCAAGGCGGCAAGTACTGGGATCTGTGCTGTCTGATCATAGTATATAAATCTCACATGGGTTTGTGGGTAACAGTTAAAATATCATCCCGAGGAAAATACTGTTACCCGAGGCGTAGCCGAAGGTTACAGTTTTTTTTTACGAGGAATGATATTTTTACTGTTACCCACAAACCCATGTGTTATTTATTTTATTACCCCGAACAAATACTGTGATGATCTAAATTTGTAAACTAAATCTAATTGTAACAAAAATAAACCAAGAGTAGCAATGCAATAACTTAACTGTCCGTACCTTGCAAGTTTCAAGTGTACTGTAGGCCTACTTGAGAAGCCGTTTTTTATTTTAATCTTTTAGCAAGTGATGATATCTACCAGTCATAAACATACAATAAGCTGTGTTTTATTTAGAAAACAAAACATTTATAAGTTAATGATCTGTGATATCTGATCCTTCTGTATCCAGAATATTCTGCGCATGTTTTTTGACAAAGTGCATTTACAAAATAACGATGATATTTATACGCGAAAAGAACTCTAGGGTGCAAAGAACTAAATTTTATGAGAGTCATAGTTACTTTGGTGATGCCCTAGGCCCTATCGTCGAAAATAAGAATGATTCGAGAGAAAAATGGCGGCCATGTTATTTCATTTTATTTAGAAAATAGACTACGTGACCAGATTTTATACTATTAAAAAAATACTGTTACCTATGTAACAGTAAAAAATTCTTTGTCACGTGGTACACTGCATTAACAGTAAGAATAACTCATAGAGGCGAATGGGAAATTAACATTACGAAAATGTGAATGGTAAAAATCTATATTATTACCCCTCACTTCTTTTTAAATTTCACATAGGCCACTTGGGGTAATTTATACTGTAAATGCAAGTGTATCATGTGACTAACAAATTTATACTGTTACAGGGTAACAGTATTTTTAACAGTAAAAAATCTGGTCACATGTTCTATTTTCTAGAGAAAAAAAAAGTCATCATAATAATCATCACAGTAATTGTCCAGGTAATTAAATAAATAACACATGGATTTGTGAGTAACAGTAAAAAATCATCCGGGGAAAATAATATAGTTACCCGAGGCGTTACCCACAAACCCATGTGTTACATGTACTTATATAGTGATGGATATTCAATGAGTACTTATCTTTAAGGTTGCGTTCAGATACAAAGATGGAAAAGTCCATTTAAGATACTTAGGGGGTAAGTGTTAACAATTGCTTATGGATATAATCATTTTTTATTTCAGAGCAAAGGAAATTGAAATTCCTCTCGTTCAGTTTTGAATTACGCTTATAGATCAGAGAAGGCCAACTCTTATTGAAACATGGGTGGTCAATAAAGTAAATAAATCGACTGGAAAACATTTTAAGCGCGGCACTCATTCATAACGATTCAAGCATAAGTTATCCTTGAGTTAGATCTTTCCTGATATGCAATTGCAGAACTTTCTCAAATACGTTCACAAAGCGAATAGGAACATGCATGCATTTATCTATTGCATGAATGCCACATATCCGATGGTTACTAGGATTCTCAAATCTATAACTTTCTTCATGTATCTGTTTCTTGTAATTGATACCGGTTTTCAAATACAACTAAACGACAGAAGCATTGAAGTTAAGCATAAAAATATAATAAATCGAGACTGTTGATAGAAATATAATTTTATTAATTATATTCTCAGAGCAACTAGGTTGATACTCGCGGAATTATGAAAATTAGGATCCTAGAATATTAAAAAAAATATATCATTTCTGTGACATCTAGTTTGCATATCATAATTTGCATATTTATAGAAAATACTTCTTTGCAATAAAACGTCTTTCTTGCATAATCAGTGACAATATGCATTGACAAAATTAATCTTGGATTTTGTTTTATGACATCTCAAAGCATTGCATTTAATTGTTGAATATGATTTTCCAAAAGTAGATATTTTGCGAATTTCTTTTGTACTTTTTGGATTTAGAATTGAAAAGTATTGTTTTAGAAATGATTTTGATCTTCTTATATGCAAAAAGAAAATATGAAATTATCAGATATGTATCTAGTAAAAAATATTATAATAATAATTTGGTCATGTTTTATAAATTTAGTATTCCTTCTAAATTCTATAATATAGCTTAAAGCTGTTTAAATAGGCCAATTTGAAAAAAAAATGTTTGATTGATACAGGCTGTTTAGTACTGGTTGACTTTTTTAAAAAAGTAAACTAATTTAATGCACTTCTAATTCATCAATCTATTAAACATTTTAAACATGTGGCATACTGTCATCAGTTGCTGAATGATCCATCTCTGTTACGATGCTAAACTGGCTTTGAGCAATTAATACATCAGTTATTCTCTTACAATACTTACTTGTTAGTAACTTTTATCTCTTATCGCTTGCTTGTTCATGTATGTGTATACAATATCCTTGGAATATTTGGCTGGTCTCCGTTTATAATTTACATGCTAGATTTTTTTTAATAAACAAATGAGAAAATTGCCGCAAATACAACACCAATAATACCACATTAAAACTTAAATTTAACAAGAGAAGCATACGTATCAAATGAATTAATGCAATCACATGTTAACAAAAACAATACCAATAACAATTTATCTTAAACTTGCTTAGCAAGAGAATCATAAAAGGTCATATACCGATATACAATTGACTAATGCAATCACATTGTAAGATTACTGTAACATTATACATGTAATCTAGTAATAAAAAAAGAGAAATAACTTTGAAATTGCTGAATCATCATGTCTCTGCCTGGTGATCTCCCTTAACAAAAGTTAAATGGCAAATCATATTTGTATCAAAACGACAAAGCTAAATATATAGCAAATTGCAAAATAATACTAACTGAAGTAATTATGAAAAGATAATACTTCAATTAAATCAGGTATGCGGCAATATATAAAAATTTCATCTGAAAACACGAGGGCATATGAAACAAAATCGTACTTTACATAAGTTATGTATTGAAAAACCAAACAAACAAACAACAACAACAAATTTATGATTTGTGTCATTATAAATGAGTCGCTGTTGTTTCACCTTAACACCAAGTTTCTCGTTTATTTCCCGCTTCAATTCGATTATTTGCATATCTGCCCTAAAGGGAAACCACTCTGTATCGCCGTTCATAGTCGAAACGCTAATCAGTTCAAAACCAGGTGTCATCAGTCTTGCTTGTTGTTCCGATATCTACACAATTTAACATTCAAATTATATAAGGAAGTAATGTAGCATAATAATTAGAATATTATACACTGCAATTGCTGAAAAGTTTAAAGTTTTTAACATCTTTTTCACAATTTTTACTTATCGTATGATATAACTATATTAAACAATATTGAAAGTATGAATATCGTAGATAGGTAATTCAGTTTTACAGAAGTAAGCAAGAATGTTTATATAACCAATTCAGTTTCGGTTCAAATGATAATTTACAAATATTATATCATGTAACAAATCTATCAAATTATGTTAATATATAAATCAGTTCAACAATCAGCTTGGTGTTTAAAACTTTGTGTTGTCTACCATTGTCACTGAGTAAGTTAGGTTTACGCGCGAAATAATGGTAAGGAATTTGTTTTCATAGTTTTCAAAGATATGTCTGATAAATCTATCAATTGTTCGTGAATTATATCTCTTCAAAAATCTTCTTTTGTCTGTCTTATAATTAACATTGCATTACAAACCTTACTATAATCTACAAAAAGCCTGTCTAATTTTGCTTGAAAGAACTCTATCATGCCACATTTAGGCTGTACATCAATATCACAGTTTTCACGTGGGCATTTTCCCGTCTCTTTAACGTGTTTCACTACACACTAGTGATAAAATTAAGTGATAATTAGTAAGATAAAAACATTATGTTTAACATTCAGTTTACTCTAGAACAGTTTCTTTTGATTTGTTTAAATATGATATAGCATATATTCATATATTAATCCCAACTGTTACTTAAGTAATTTGATTATCAAAAACATGAAACCTGCACATTTATGGTGTTCGTGTCCTTTCTGTTTAAAAATAGTTTTGTCAGTGCTTTACTTGAAAATGGCAATATGTAATATTTGTAAAGTTTATGATTTATAATAACTAAATATTTTTCATTGAGATACCATGTACCACCTTAAATTATTTTAAATATGATTTTATTCAATTAATATTGAAATTTATTACTCTTAGACATTCTAGTGGAGCATGTTCACATTCTTCGCTCACAGTCGTAGTTGGAAATTCATTGGCAGGTTTATTGACTTTACAGAGTGGACACTTCATACCTGAAATAATATTGACATGGCAATTTCTCAAACGTTGTGGTCATTCACATACAGACAAATGAAAACAGCACTTCATGCAAATCATTATTATGACAATTGATGTTTAATTGTTACCATTTCCTTCATCTTCATCATCAGAGTCGGACTCCTCATTAAGTATAGCTTTTGGATAATTTGACTCAATTTCTATTTTTCATTCATACATCTTTAGATTCTGCTTGATTCCCCAATGTCATGCTCTGCAAATATATCAAATAAAACATCAAGATATATTTTAACATCTTTGATGAAGGATAACTTTATGAAATTATTATAGTTGATATCAAATAAAGAAACAAAATAATTATTTAAACCATTGCAAAGAAAATATTACAAACCTGTTCAAGTCCAGCTTCTCTGAAGCAAATTGACATAATCACCTCTTCAATTTTGTTCATATCGTTAAGTGGTACATAATGTCCAAACGTAGACGATGCTATCTTTTGATAGAACGAGTCAGCATATGCTCTGTTTTGACATTGAACTGCATTATTCTTTACATTCTACAAAATAATAAATGCTTTAAAGTGTATTGTTTAAATCCCATACATTAAACAGACTGCTGACAATAAATCATATAAAGCATATCATTCATTAAAATTGTATGTTATCAATCTTCTTTTTTTGAATGTACAATAAACATCTGTTGAGTACAAGCACAGAAGAAATATTGTTTTCAACTTTACACAATACAGGTAAACACAATATGAATACATATCGTTTTTAAACAGCTGACAGCTTTTTGTTAAGAAATGACCAACTTGACTTGAGCAGTTATACGAAATGCAACATCCGAAACATAGTATTCACATTCTCGGATCCAATAATTTGACAAATTCTGTAAGAATCTGCTATTTATGTATAATCCAGTAAATATGTAAAATATATACCATTTCTCGTAGCTGCCTTATTTCGTCTTCCCAATCTATTTTTTGTTCATTTTGAGGATCATCGACATCGTGTGGTCGACAATCTCCAATCATGATTAGTGTCCTGGAACTGTTGTCTCGCCAGGACAGTTTCGTTCTGCTATAATGTAAAGCTACCTCGTAACATTCATCCCATGTTGATCCAGCATTACAACCTGCCGCATTTACAAATGAGCAAAGTCTGTCCGCATTTGCAGTAAGATCTTCATACTTGATGAGATATAAGTCTGTATCATAATCGCCGTGTGCAATGACGCCAACACGGATATCTGGTATTTTAGATTTCAGCAATCTTATCATTCCTTTCATTTTACTTTTCACTTGTTCAAGACAAGTATACATAGAATACGTTGTATCAAAAGATATGACTACATCTATCATCTCCGTATTCTCCATGTCTGAAATAAACACATACATTGTACACATTTAAAACGTTAGTTGTTATAGCGCTTCTTTTTGACATGCATTAATAGCTACAGACACACAAGGAAGCCTTTAAAGACCGAGACCTACACCGACTGAGCGATAAAACGAAAGAGCGAACGAACAATTGAATGAATAAACGAACGAAAAAAGAACGAACGAACGAATGATAAATGAATGAACTAACGAATGAACCGATGGTATATTTATCTCAGTTATCAAATGTCTGATATTTTGTATTTGATCTCTCAATTCATAGAAACATTGTTTAATACTCTTTCTTTAATTTTTCCAGACTGATTTACTTTCGGGCAGTATAATATTACTTCTGATATGGTACATTATTAATCTTATGGCGCATGATGGTTTTTACTTGTTCCTTAAAGTTTATAACCTGTGATCTATTTCATTCCATTTACTGTCGCCATTTTTTTTGTCTTGGGCACACATATTCTTCTACTTATGTAGCATTTACCGCTTAATTTTGATACATGATATTAACATCATTTAAAGTTCTCTGATTCTCTCCATATGTGTAGAAGTTTCTGGATTGTTTATTGCAACAAATGACGTAGATGTGTTCATCTGATTTGTCGGCTAACTCGTGGCCACGAGATAGCAATATTTTCTTCTGAGTTTTACCTCGTAGCCACGAGATACAATCTTTTATCTGAATTATATCTTGTGACCACGAGATAGGACAATAAAATAAAATCTGAATGTCCCCTCTGTGCTTCCGTAAATAGTCACCGAAGCACAGAGGGGATATTACAATTTTATTTTATTTTCCTATCTCGTGGCCACGAGATATAACTCAGAAAAAAAACCAACAAAAACAATCCCTATCTCGTGGCAACGAGAGGTAACTAAGAAATAAAAATATTTTATTGGCCATCTAACTCGTTAACACGACTTAGATGTGTTCATCTGATTTGTCGGCTAACTCGTGGCCACGAGATAGCAATATTTTATTCTGAGTTATACCTCGTGGCCACGAGATACCATTTTTTATCTGAATTATATCTTGTGGCCACGAGATAGGAAAATAAAATAAAATCAGAATGTCCCCTCTGTGCTTCCGTAAATAGTTGCTTTGGTTTACAACTGCTGTCTACGAACCAGCTCAAAATATATTTATTTTGCGGATTATGCCTTTTTCTAAATATTTTATTATCATGACATAAATGTAACAATTGTATTTACTAACCTGTTACTTCTTGAAATTTGTCAATATACATCCGGTTTATAAAACAAAGTGATATTATTCTTGATAGCCAACTTTACATAGAGGGCAGAAACTAAACACCTTTAAAACGAGACTTGGCATGTTAGTAGTGCGTTTTATATTTTGTCACGTGATACAAATCGTTTTTCATCTGCTATTATCAATTCTTTCAATACGTTACATCCTGTGCAGATAACATGTAAACAACTATAACATGGGTAGCGGTAGACATTGAATAAATGGATAGTTTGTTCGAATAAAGATTTGTAAAGCATATAAAACAAAAACAACTTTTGAGTGTTAAAGAAAATAAAGTAAATTGAAACTCGAATGATTAAAACCATTCACTGATCTTAAAAACAAGACCATAATGATTAAACTTTTAGAAATTTCATTTCATTTGATGTAGATTTATTTTAATTTTGTAATGGTTTCATTTCGTAATTATTGAAGCCAATTACTGACATTAAAGATTTCTGAAACATTTTGCTTATCTGGGTGCCTTATTAAATAATACAGAAGCGGGAGAACCATTTCCTTCCTTGTTTTAAAACTTTGTAGGTTAACTTTGCGCTATGTTAATTTAACGCTCTAACTTTACCTCGCCAACATTATCAATAGACTTTACACCCTGTAATCAATCCAAGATTATTTAGATTCTTTAAATGTTTTCTATCTTTGTCACGCATATTCTTATCATTTGCGGCAATCTACTGCATTTGTTTCTTTATTGTTTCACCTTAGCATTCCATTTTAAATAATGAATCTTTTTATATGCAGATGCAATGAAGCATGAACGATAAACGGTCCACTACTGTCCATGAACATGCTCGATTGAATTCAGTCATTTTGAATTGTCATTTGTAAGTAACCAGATCTGGTCCCTATTCACTTTCACTGACTGAAATAATGCAAAAAAGGAGGCACCTGAGGTATTCCACAACCAATAAAGCTGGAAAGTTGCCTTATGACCTATTCTGTGTTGATGCGACATAAAACCCAACTCCACCCATCACTTCAACTGAAATAAATGAATTTTTACCTTATCTTCCACATGCTTAGATACGGTTTACAAACTATATCGATAACTACTCTTTTAAAAGAATCCAGATTTATTAGACAGAAAAAATAACGCCTTATAAATCATTAATGTAAATGAGACCTGATAAGTAAGTTCAAAAGCTTATCAAATTACAAATAACAAATAGCTTACATGTTACTGTAAAGATAACGTAAACTCAAATTGTGAAAGGGCAATAACTAACGGTAATCATTTAATAAATCGAATGGAGAATAGTTTCCCTTGTTCGACGTAAATAAAGAAAAATATCGAGTCTTAGAAAACTAATGGAAACATAAGTGATGTAGACCAGTTAATGGCTGATCAAAATAAAACCTTATAAATAAAAAACCTTATAAATAACGAAAACTCCTTCTTTGTGTCCGCCCGCTTCTAGTGGTCGCTGGTGCATTCCTCAGATGAGAGATATTTTAACGTGACAGTTGACCTCAGACATTGAGTCCCATAGTTATGTGCCTTTCACCAATGACTTAAATCATGTGTGATAAAAACTCGGTCAATTTGGTACACTTACTCTCTAGCATATGACAGAAACGTATGTATTGCATGTAAAAATAATTTGATAAAAAAAACACTTATATACGCACAACTTTCGAGCGTTTAAACCCGAGCTATAAGCGGAAATCCTTGGATGTCCTTATAAATGATGCGAAATAGGAAATTATAGAAAGAAGAACATTAAGTTTAAAAAAGAATTGGGTAAAAAAGGGAAAGGGCCAGAAGGACCAATAGTGGGGGATTGAAAAAAAAAACTTGGGGTCGGGGGAGAAATATACCTCAAAAGGAACACTCAAAAGTGTCACAAAAATTGTTTGTTACAATAAACAAGACGTACAAGGAAAACAGAAGGGTGCGACCTTGGAAATAATAATTATATTGAAATAATATATGAAACATTTGATAAATTAAGATGTTTACATTTGAAATACAGCATTTTCCTAAATAATTAAAAATCATCAATACCCGTGCAGAAATTTTTGAAGTGAACACAAAAACTCATAAAATTTATAGTTTTATTGATATTTTAATACAGTCATAAATCCCTTTGGAATAGACCATAATAATTGGTGTTTCAAATTCAAACTTTCAATGCATCATAAATCAACTCGTATGGCAAAATACCTATGTTTTATTTGTATATTTCTCCGTCCATCGTTACGGTTATTTTTTTAAATGTTAAATTCTTAATAAAAAAATAAATATAAAATAATGTGATATCACTGCTATCAAAACATCATCAGATATGTTAGAATACAAAATAAAGCAAGTATTATACATGATAAAACAAATTCCTTTTAACGCATTCCCGCATTCACCAACCCCTTTCAATAGGGCTAGAACTTTCACCAACCCAAAGTGAAAAAGAATTACGACTTACTATTATTAATCTATATATATCCTGTCAATAGAGATGCACATTTCAATACACCATATAGATTACAATTCGTTTCTTATAAGATCAGCAATTCTAGCCCTTATTGGATTGTAACACTTGGCATTTCCTGCCACCAAGCTACCAGCACCGCATTCAAATATTTGCCATTTCGACCCCTGTCGTACCGTCGAACACATTATAACAGCTTGAGAATTTAGCGCATGTACAAATGTTGTTTCACACAAGTTAGCGTTTTCGCTGGATGCCTCGTAAAACTTCAAGGAAGGATTCTTGAAATCAGACAGGTTTGGTGACCTCCATGAACTTAAGATAAAGTAGAGGTGAGTGACATTCCTTGGGACACTCTTCAAATAAACGTGAATCGTCTGACGGCCTGTCTTTCCGCCAGGACCAGACAGATTTTTCTCTGAATGCCTCACCGAGTTCTTCAGATAATAATCGTTCGTGGAATGGGTCCAATCAATAACTTGGATGAATTCATCCTTTTCAAAAGCCATACACGTGGCGTCAAGGAAATCTGGATTCACTGCAGGAAATTCCCAGGATAGATCAAAAACAACGTGGTCAAGGTGTTCGGGAATACAGTACAGTGGCATGATCAGAGAAATATTTGCATTGCTGCAAATATTGTAGTCAGACAGTCTGGCAGCAGCCTACAATACACATTTTGAGTGAACCAAAAAAAGATTATGCCGCTCGTCATGAGTTATAAAAAATGAATTATTTAAACGAAAAATATGTTTTTTATTGTTGAGTTGTACTTATAAGCAGTGAAAAATAATTAAATGATGAATTTCAGTTGAATAAATTGAAAATAAAGTAAAGGAAACATTGATTAATTGAACGTAAACTTGGCATAACATATCATTAGTATATCGAATTTAAGATAACTTGAAAGAATACACGTTTTAACTATTTAGATTTAAATAATTAGTTATTTAATGATGGCGTGATAAACAATTTCATAAAAGTAATAAGAGTAACCTTTTGCAATAATTTATCAAGATACAAAATAAAATAATATTACCTTAAGATTTGTGTCATTATAAATGAGTCGCTGTTGTTCCACCTTAACACCAAGTTTCTCGTTTATTTCCCGCTTCAATTCGATTATTTGCATATCTGACCTAAAGGGAAACCACTCTGTATCGCCGTTCATAGTCGAAACGCTTATCAGTTCAAAACCAGGTGTCATCAGTCTTGCTTGTTGTTCCGATATCTACACAATTTAACATTCAAATCATGTAAGGAAATAATGTAGCACAATAATGAGAATTTTATACACTGCAATTGCTGAAAAGTTTAAAGTTTTTGACATCTTTTTTACAATTTTACTTATCGTATGATATCAGCATATTAAACAATATTGAAATTATTTATGAATATCGTAGATAGGTAATTAAATTATTCAGAATTTAGCAAGAATATTTCTATCACAAATTCGTTTTCCCTGATACGGTTCAAATGATTATTTACAAATATTATATCATGTAACAAATCTAAAGTATGTTAATATATAAACCAGCTTAGTGTTTAAAACTTTGTGTTGTATACCATTGTCACTGAGAAAGATAGGTTTATGCGCGAAACAATGGTAAGGAATTTGTTTTCATATTTCCCAAAGATATATCTGATAAATCTATCAATTGTTCGTGAATTATATCTCTTCAAAAATCTTCTTTTGTAGGTCTTATAATTAACATTGCATACAAACCTTACTGTAATTTACAAAAAGTCTGTCTAATTTTGCTTGAAAGAACTCTATCATGTCACATTTAGGCTGTACATCAATATCACAGTTTTCACGTGGGCATTTTCCGGTCTCTTTAACGTGTTTCACTACACACTAGTGGTACAATTTAGTGATAATTAGTAAGATAAAAACATTATGCTTAACATTCCGTTTACTCTAAAACAGTTTCTTTTGATTTGTTTAAATATGGTATATCATATAATTATATATAAATCTCAGTTGTTACTAAAATTATTTGAGTATCAAAAACATGATTTTTTACATTTGAAACTACCTGCACAAATATGGTGTTTGTGTCCTTTCTGTTTCAAAATAGTTTGTCAGTGATGTACTTGAAAATGGCCATATGTAATATTTGTAAATTTTATGATAATGTTTTATAATAACTAAATATTTTTCACTTGGATACCATGTACCACCTTACATGATTTATAATATGATTTTATTCAATTAATATTGAAAGTAATTACTCTTAGACATTCCAGTGGAGCATGTTCACATTCTTCACTCACAGTAATAGTTGGGAATTCATTGGGAGGTTTATTGACTTTACAGAGTGGACACTTCATACCTGAAATAATATTAACAAGACAATTTCTCAAACGTTGTGGTCATTCACATACAGACAAATGAAAACAATGATTATGCAAATCATTATTATGACAATGGAAGTTTAATTGTTACCATTTCCCTCATCTTCATCATCAGAGTCGGACTCCTCATTAAGTATAACTTTTTGATCATTTGTCTCAATTTCTTTTTGCATTGATACATCTTTAGATTTTGCTTGATTCTCAATTGTCATGCTCTGCAAATATATCAAATAAATCATCAAGATATATTTTGACATCTTTGATGAAGGACACTTAATGAAATTGTTATAGTTGATATCACAATATATTTAAACCATTGAAAAGAAAAATATTACAAACCTGTTCAAATCCAGCTTCTCTGAAGCAAATTGACAAAATCACCTCTTCAATTTTGTTCATATCGTTAAGTGATACATAATGTCCAAACGTAGACGATGCTATCTTTTGGTAGAACGAGTCAGCATAAGCTCTGTTTTGACATTGAACTGCATTAATCTTTACATTCTACAAATAATAAATGCTTTAAAGTGTATTGTTTAAATTCCGTACATAAAACAGATTTCTGACAATACATCATATAAATTATATCATGTCATTAAAATTGTATGTTATCAATCTTTTTTTTTTTTTGAATGTACAATAAACATCTGTTGAGTACACACACAGAAGAAATAATATTGTTTTCAACTTTACACACTACAGGTAAACACAACATTAATACATAGTGTCATTAAATAGCTGGTAGCTTTTTGTTAAGAAATGACCAACTTAACTTGAGCAGTTATAGGGAATGCAAATCCGAAACATAGTATTCACATTCTCGGATCCAATAATTTGACAAATTCTGTAAGAATCTGTTATTTATGTATAATCCAGTACATATGTAAAATATAAACCATTTCTCGTAGCTGCCTTATTTCGTCTTCCCAATCTATTTTTTGTTCATTTTGAGGATCATCGACATCGTGTGGTCGACAATCTCCAATCATGATTAGTGTCCTGGAACTGTTGTCTCGCCAGGACAGCTGCGTTCTGCTATAATGTAAAGCTAACTCGTAACATTCATCCGATGTTGATCCACGATTACAACCTGCCGCATTTACAAATGAGCACAGTCTGTCCGCATCTGCAGTAAGATCTTCATACTTGATGAGATACAAGTTTGTATCATAATCGCCGTGTGCAATGACGCCTACACGGATATCTGGTATTTTAGATTTAAGCAATCTTATCATTCCTTTCATTTTGCTTTTCACTTGTTCAAGACAAGTATACATAGAATACCGTTGTATCAAAAAAGATATGACTCCACATCTATCATACACTAAAACATATTTTGACCATGTCTGAAATAAACATCGTACGAATGATAAATGAATGAACTAATGAACCGATGGTATATATCTCAGTTATCAAATGTCTGATATTTTGTATCTCTGTCAATTCATTAGAAACATTGTTTAATACTCTTTCTTTAATTGTTCCAGACTGATTTACTTTCGGGGCAGTATAATGCATACTTTCTGATATGGTACATTTTAATCTTATGGGCGCATGATGTTTTTTACTTGTTTCTTAAAATTTAAAAAAAACTCGTGTATCTATTTCATTCCATTTACTGTCGCCATTTTTTTTGTCTTGGGCACACATATTCTTCTACTTATGTAGCATTTACCGCTTAATTTTGATACATGATATTAACGTGTATCATTTAAAGTTCTCTGATTCTCTCCATATATGTAGAAGTTTCTGGATTGTTTATTGCAACAAATGACTTAGATGTGTTCATCTGATTTGTCGGCTAACTTGTGGCCACGAGATAGCAATATTTTCTTCTGGGTTATACCTCGTAGCCACGAGATACAATTTTTATCTGAATTATATCTTGTGACCACGAGATAGGAAAATAAAATAAAATCTGAATGTCCCCTCTGTGCTTCCGTAAATAGTGACCGAAGCACAGAGGGGACATTACGATTTTATTTTATTTTCCTATCTCGTGGCCACGAGATAGAACTCAGAAAAAACCTAACAAAAACAATTCCTATCTCGTGGCAACGAGACGTAACTCAGAAATAAAAATATTTTATTGGCCAGCTAACTCGTTAACACGACTTAGATGTGTTCATCTGATTTGTCGGCTAACTCGTGGCCACGAGATAACAATATTTTATTCTGAGTTATACCTCGTGGCCACGAGATACAACTTTTTATCTGAATTATATCTTGTGGCCACGAGATAGGAAAATAAAATAAAGTCAGAATGTTCCCTCTGTGCTTCCGTAAATAGTTGCTTTGGATTACAACTGCTGTCTACGAACCAGCTCAAAATATATTTATTTTGCGGATTATGCTTTTTTTTCTAAATATTTTATTATCATGACATAAATGTAACAATTGTATTAACTAACCTGTTACTTCTTGAAAAATGTCAATACATCCGGTTTATAAAACAAAGTAATATTATTCTTGATAGCCAACTTTACACAGAGGGCAGAAACTAAACACCTTTAAAACGAGACTTGGCATGTTAGTAGTGCGTTTTATATTTTGTCACGTGATACAAATCGTTTTTCCTCTGCTATTATCAATTCTTTCAATACGTTATATCATGGTCAGATACCGTTAACACAAATATAAAATGCGTAGCGGTAGACATTAAATAAATGGATAGTTTGTTCGATTAAAGATTTGTAAAACATATAAAACTAAACACCTTTTAAAACGAAACTTTGCATGTTAGTAGTGCGTTTTATATTTTGTCACGTGATACAAATCGTTTTTCATTCTTTCAATACTTTACATCATGTGCAGATACCGTTAACACAAATATAAAATGGGTAGCGGTAGACATGGAATATATGGATAGTTTGTTCGATTAAAGATTTGTAAAGCATGTAAAACTAAACAACTTTTGAGTGTTAAAGGAAATTAAGTAAATTGAAACTCGAATGATTAAAACCATTCACTGATCTTAAAAACAAGACCATAATGATTAAATTTTTAGAAATTTCATTTCATTAGATGTAGATTTATTTTAATTTTGTAATGGTTTCATTTCGTAATTATTGAAGCCAATTACTGACATTAAAGATTTTTGAAACATTTTGCTTATCTGGATGCCTAATTAAATAATACAGAAGCGGGAGAACCATTTCCTTCCTTGTTTTATAACTTTCGAGGTTCAGCGTCGACGTGTTACAGCATAACAAAAGAATATGAATAATCATTGCCCAGATTTTACCCTTATATTTAAGCTCAGTTGTTTATAACCCACAATATCTTACTATCTCGAAGTAAACATCAACGCTACCTAATAGAAGTAGAGTAGCAAGCCAAGCATATTGCCATGTACTTCAACGAAATTCAGAACAATGTGTTTCTTGCTGATCATTATAAATAAACGACAACACTTGGAGAAAAGAGGTAGTTTGTTTTCATCTTTTTGCTATTAATGTGCGACTGAGTTTCCAATAGACGGTATAATATTACTTAATAAATTAACTTTGCGCTATGTTAATTTAACGCTTTAACTTTACTTCGCCAACATTATCAATAGACTTTACACCCTGTAATCAATCCAAGATTATTTAGATTCTTTTGATGTTTTCTATCTTTGTCACGCATATTCTTCTCATTTGCGGCAATATACTGTATTTCATGAATGAGATAAACGTATCCTAATAATGCTTCTGTATGAACACATCTGCAGATGTTTCTTGATAGTTTCACCTTAACATTCCATTTTAAATAATGAATCTTTTTATATGCAGGTGCAATGAAGCATGAACGATAAACGGTCCACTACTGTCCATGAACACGCTCAATTGAATTCAGTCATTTTGAATTGTCATTTGTAAGTTACCAGATCCGGTCCCTATTCAATTTTACTTTTACTGACTGAAAAAATGCAAAACGGAGGCACCTGCGGTGTTCCCCCACCAATAAAGCTGGAAATTCGCCATATGACCTATACTGTGTTGGTGCGACATAAAACCCAACTCCACCCATTACTTCAACTGAAATAATTGAATTCTTACCTTATCTTTTACAGCCTTAATGTTAATGAAGCCTGATAAGTAAGTTCAAAAGCTTATCAAATTACGAATAAATAGCTAACATGTTTCTGTAAAGATAACGTAAACTCAAATTGTGAAAAGGCAATAACTAACGGTAATCATTTAATAACTCGAATGAAGAATAGTTTCCCCTGTTCGACGTAAATAAAAAAACAAAATATCGAGTCTTAAACAACTTAATAGGAAAACTAATGGAAACATAAGTGATGTAGACCAGTTAATGGCTGATCAAAATAAAACCTTATAAATAACGAAAACTCATTCTTTGTGTCCGTCCGCTTCTAGTGGTCGCTGGTGCGTTCCTCAAGCGACGAGATATTTCAACGTTACAGTTGTCATCATACATTGAGTCTCATAGCCATGTGCCTTTCACCAATGACTTAAATCATGTGTGATAAAAACTCGGTCAATTTGGTGCAGCCACTCTCTAGCGTATGACAGGAACGTATGTATTGCGTGTGAATATAATTTGAAAAAAAAAACTTATATACGCACAACTTTCGAGCGTTTAAACCTGAGCTATCGGTGGCAGTCCTTTAAAAGTGTATAAATGTTGTATGAACAGAGTTTATATAATAAAAGCAAAACCAGGGTACATATAGCACATGGGAAACGATGGCGAACCTGTGTGAGCGTATGTTAATCATACCGTCAGTGTAACGGGTAGCGTATGCAAGGATATGAGTAACATTTGTATAACTTATTTGAGCTTATGAGTAACGTTTGAGTAGCGTATGCGCAGCGTCACCTTTCGACTGTAGTGTAATAGTTTCTTCATTTCCAAACTAGACTCCGAGATGTGCAGCGTGCTTGGATGGTAAGCTGCTTATGCCTAACATAATGATAACGTATGTTCGAGCGTATGAGCAATTATTTTCGTACGCTCACATACTTAAATTCCATAATTTATAGTATGTGATAGGGTGGCATTCAATGAATGCATCCCCAAACAATAGGTCGGGGCACATGGGCAAACATCGGATTGGTGTCATTATAAATTATGCAAAATCGGATATTATAGAGACCTACAAGGCAATTAAAGAAGAACGTTTATTTTAAGAAGATAAGGGTGAAAAAGAATGAGCCAAAGGACCGGGAGTGGGGGGATTGATAAAAAACTTAGGGATGGGGGATAAATATACCTCAAAAGTCACCAAAATTGTTTGTAACAATAAATAAGACATACAAGGAATACAAAGGGGTGCGGCCTTGGAAATAATAGTTATATTGAAATAATATATGAAAAATAATTGATAAAATAAGATTCTTTAAATTTGAAATAAAGCATTTTCCTAAATAATTAAAAATCATCAATACCCGTGCAGGAATGTTCATGAAGAACTTAACAACTTATAGTATTGAGTTTTATTGATAATTTAATGCAGTCATAAATCCCTTTGGAATAGACAATAATGGGTGGTCTTTCAAATTCAAACTTTCAATGCATCATCAATCAATACATATGGCAAAATACCTTATGTTTTATTCGTATATTTCTCCGTCCATCGTTACGGTTATTTTTTTCAAATGTTAAATTCTTAATAAAAAAATAAATACAAATGTTATATCACTGCTATCATTCTTTAAGCATGTTAAGTATGCAACAAAACATCATCAGATATGATAAAATATAAAATACAAAATAAAGCAAGCATTATACATAATAACACAAATCCCTTTTTAACGCATTCCCACTTTTACCCATCCCTTTCAATAGGGCTAGAACATTCACCAACCCAAAATGAAAAGATTTACGATTAATAAATTAATCTATATTTTTGTAGACTTTTAACGTATTTACCTTATTTATTGCAAGGCTGTTAGAAACTTAGTTTTGTAACATACACCGTCATCGAACTCAGTTATTTTTAAACATAAATATTAAATGTTCATAATGATTATGTCTTAACATTTATACAAAATAATAATGTATACATCTTTTGTAAAATTCATTTCAAAATATTTAAATGAGTTCTTTTTTAAAGTTTTTAAATTGTATATAACCTGTCAATAGAGATGCACATTTCAATACACCATATAGATTACAATTCGTTTCTTATGAGTTCAGCAATTTTAGCCCTTATTGGATTGTAACACTTGGCATTTCCTTCCACCAAGCTACCAGCACCGCATTCAAATATTTGCCATTTCGACCCCTGTCGTACCGTCGAACACATTATAACAGCTTGGGAATTCAGT